ACACTCTCCCAAGACGTTATAAGTTATATGTTTAATGTTTATTTTCAATACTATCATAACCATATAGCACAATGAATAAATAATTATATGCATTAATATAAGCAGACATAAAAAACTATCAGTTGTATTGCTAAATAAAAAGTAGTAAGAAATAAAACAAGTTTAAACAATCATTTAGTCTGTAGTCAACACACAACACCATTCCACAATGGAAACAGTGTGAATTTATATTTTGGAATGATTTGGAGAAGTAAGCTTGGACATCACCTTGAATTATAAAACCATACTGCCTCTTCCAAACAAATCATATTTTATAAGTTTGTAGAAGCTTCAATTGAGTTCTTTTACTTCCGTCGTTCTAATGTAATACTATCATTTTCCCTCCACTTTCTCTGTTCTATGTGTTAGTTGATGTGGATGTATAATTGAATATATATTTCATCAATAAAATAGACCCAACACTTAAATAATCTCTTTAAAAGCACAAACGGGTGATATTGTTGTTCAATTTGATAATAACAGTTCTGAGTTTCAACTTCATTTATTAGTTTGTTAAAACATTTAAATAAAATATAGTAAATATTTAGTTTTAATTTAAGACCCGCATCCCACTTATATTACTATTTATATAATTACTATAAATTTTAATATAAATAATCATTCAAATAATTAATAAAATGAAAAACACCAAAATAAATTTATATTTAGATTAGCATCCGCCTTTTTCTCAGCATCCGACTTTTTATCTTGACTGTAATGTTATTCCGTAGTAATTTCATATTATAGGGGGTCTATAAACTGGTTGGGATTCATAAACTAGTTGGGGAATGCTCCAAAACTTCGAAATTAAAACAATGTAAAACATAATCAATTAATATTTATTGTTATTATTCAAAGAACAAAAACCCTTGATTTTCCGTTTTCGCTCACTTTTTGGAACAATTTTGATATATTTGTTTGCGGAAGGAAAATGGATTTATTAACTGGCCAATAAAATAAACGCTTTTTGTAAATCAAGTATTGTATTTGTAAATTTTAAAAATATTTTTTTACAAATATTGTTTTGTAACAAACCCGTTAAGAAGTGACGGGTAAAATTTGCAATAATTTTTGTTTTTTGGAACGAAAAATGAGACCTTTGTTTTTGTATTTATCTAAAAATGGTCATGGTTTCTCTTAACGATGATATTTATTTTAATATGTTTAAACACAAAGTGTTATATATGATACATTTGGGATAAGTTTATAATATTATTGTTCGTCATAAAGGGTAATATGTTAAAATGTGTGTTATAAAAAGTTAAAAAATGAATTCCTGTTAAAATAATTTATCTTTTTTATTTTGAAAAGTTGGTATTTCAAATTGTTGTAATGGACTCTTTGATAACATCTATTGAATAAATAAAATGAAATGAATGACAGGTAAATGCACTACATTTATAATTGTAAGGTTGTTGATTTTTTGAAAATAAAATGAAAAATAAATTGTTTTGTTGATAGTAAATTATAATATTGTTTTAGTTTTATAAATTAATAAAGTCAACTTTATTGAACACATTCTTGGATATCAAGAGTGAGTTTTGTTGTTAATAAAAAGCTGTTAACAACATGTTAAATACTCTATTTGAATGTTGTGTGTCTGATCACTGTTATTTATTAAAGAATAAGTTGATGTTTGAATAATTATTCTTAATAAAATAATAATTTTATAAACTAATAAATAAGCATAATAAATATCATTAATAATTATAGCATATAATAGTATAAAATAACATACATCTTGAGTAAAAACATTTTATAAAAATAATGTTATTTTATTAAAATGCTCTCAATAAATATTTTAATCGCCATTAATTGTTATAATAATTTCAAATAATTCTCGATAAACAATTAAATTTTAATAATTTATTATATTAAAAAATTAATTGTATTAATCAAAAACATTGTTACTTTTCGATTCAAATTTTAAATAAGGTAAAATTACAAAAAAATTAAAATGGATTTAAAAGTCAACAGATTTTAAAAAATCGAATTTTGGACTATAAAAGAAAATATTTTGAACTCAAAACAGTCATTCATTACGATATTTACAATATGCGAAGGAGATTGTGATAAAATATAATTTATAATATGTGTGAGAGCGAGATAATTTAATTTGGCACGGTTGTTGACCACTTTTTGTGTGGCGTGTGAACAAAATGTTTGAATGTGTGTTATATGATAAAAAAGAGAACGCGATTCTCTTCCGAAATAATTTATTTTATCCACAAAAAATATAAATGATTTGTTTTTATTCATTGGTTGTTTTTTGGTTTCATTGGTTTTTATTAATTTCTAAAATTGCAAAACAACAAAAACAAAAATAGAAATTAACATGTTTTATACTTCCCAAAACTGCAGAGCAGGGTTTTTCTTTTCCAAAATACATGTAAATATTGTTTTTTCCTTTAAGAGTTTCTAATTAATTCCCCAACTAGTTTATGGTTCCCAACCAGTTTATAGACCCCCTATATATTAAAGGCGAAAAAAGGCTAATTGCATTTTGGAGAAAAAAATGAAGATGAATGGCAACTTGGCAAATATGCCTCTAAATGTGGTATTCCAAACTACAATTGTAAGTCATTGTTGCCTAATTTAAAAAAGGGGGATAGTATAATTCCAAAAAACCATTATAACAAAAAAGTCGTGTGACTCCATATCAAGTATTGGTAAGAAGACTTTTGGAGAATGACTCTATGACAAAGGTGCATCAGATGAGAGTATACATAAAGGTAATGATGGTAATGGATGACTTTGTAAACGTCGGAGACATTGTAGAAATACGAGTATAAAACATTTGAAGAAATTGTCAAGCACCCGGTAATTATTGTGGGAATAGACAAATAAAAACTGGAAGAGAAAAACAAGATCGTTCCGTCTATTACAAATTTCATGAGATGAAAAACTGGTGTTGATGAAAATAAAAAACTTTCGATATTGATTTTTAAAAGAGAGACTACAAGAGGTGCTGAATCGAACTCGGAAGTAAACAAAGACAAAAGAATAAATGCGATTCAAAAATTGTACGCGAGAATGTGCGAGGGATACTCGTGGGTGTGTTTGGACGAAACTTCGTGGAGGATAGCTACAACGAGTGCGTAGAGGATGGAGTGAACTTGGAAAGAAGTGCTTTATAACAAAAGGTAAAAGGAAGCATCGATTGATAAGTGTATGTGCAATAGATGTAAACTGAATGAGTTATTGTAATATTGTTAATGGAATTAACAACAAGCCTTTTTTTCAATGCGTATTTTAAAAGACTCATGCCATATTATGATCAGAGAAACGTTCGCGTTGTTTTTTAGTGTGATAATGTGAATACACAACGACATCGATGAACTTGTTGTTGGCACTCATCACTGTGTAGTGTTTAACGCCGCATACTCGCCAGAGTTAAATCCTATAGAAAATATATTTGGAATTTGGAAACGAAGAACAGAACAAGAAATACGTACATGGACAACATTTGAATCTTTACTAGAAAAACTCAGTAATGTGTTCACTTCAATTGAAACATCAGATGTTGTAGCCTCATTAGAGCGTTGCAAAAATACAATGTGGAGAGAGTTTTTAGTCGAGATAATTTATAAGTTGGTTTCTTTTTGATATTTCGAATGATATTTTTTTATTATTTAAAATATCCTGTCAACCTAAATAATTAATTTTTAAATTATAAAAAAAATGTTATCAATAAACATTTTTGTTGTTTTTATTTTTGTTTTAAATAAAATGTGGATAAATTTATTAAAATAAAGATACAGTATGACAAGTTTGACTTAAACGACAAGTTTGGGTTAAATGGTAAATATTATAATTTAATTATAATAAAATTTTGAACTATAACCCGAACTAATTAATTGCTTTTTTATTATCAAGTTTATATAAAAAATTGAATAATTAAAAGCAGCCAAAAACCCAAACACACAACATAAAGAATAAGAAAGCAATGAAAAAAGTAAAGATAATTATAAACTATCACACGATCATGATCATCACCAACATTTTAATGTGATCACAAACAATAAAGTTTTATCAAAATTTGTCAAATAAAGTAACCAAAACATTTCAATTATAAATACAGTCTAATTTCCCTAGAGTGTGTAATTATTATTTTTCTTGTTCTCCATTAAACGAGCATTTCTTAAGAACAAACCAAAAACAAGATAGACAAGCTCTTTAAAAAGTTGGTCCACTTTTTATTGGCCAAAATAAAGCGATGATTCTTAATAAATCACACTCTTGGGAGGTTTGGCAGTTTTTCCTTGTGTTGAATTCGTTTTTATGGATATTATTATTTAATTAAGTTAAAGGCAGTATTCTTCCATCGCGATAAAAAATACTGCTGATTTATCATATTAAAATAAATATAAAGTAATACAAACGTTTCCGAATGAGGCGGCACGTGTTTCGGAGCGTTTGAACTCGACGAAACAAACACATCGAAATATACAAAACAATAATTAACATGTGTCTTGGTTTTATTTTTCAAGATCAGAGTGTGACATAAATCAATAGAATTAATAATAATTTAAATATTATTTTATTTAACCGTTTGATTATTCTCTTGTTTAACCCACTGTTTACTATATTAATTGGTTTTTAAACCATTAACGTGAACCATTTAAGTCAAATTATTCTATTAAAGGCAAACTTGTCTAACTGTAATGTTGTATAATATTGTTGATAAAATCTAATAATTTAAGATAATTATCTATTGTGTCCAGATAATTACAATAAATTAGAAATAATTGGATTAAATTAGGATAATTTACGATATTTTGGATAATTTTTCAAAAATAAAAAACAAGTTTTGTAAATTAAAAAAATCGTTTTATTTTACTAAATAATTATTGCATTTTTAAAACTAAATAAATTTAAAATCGATAAAAATTGAAAAAAAAACAGAAAAATTGAATTATTTACAAGATAAAAACAACCAAATAAGACTGTACACTAATACAAATTCTTTAATATTTTCATTGAACAAACAATATGCCACAATTATTAAACATAAGCTCCAATAAAAAATTAAATTATTTATTTTTTAATATTTTTTCCAAAAAACATTTCAATAAAAATCAGAAAGATTTTTTATTTTTATTTTTAAATTCAAATAATTGTAATGTCACTAACTTTATTTTTGTAATTAATTTCAATGAATACAATTTATAATCAATTTTAGAACCGGTTATATTATACATATATTTTAATCGACTTCATTTTTAAAATCAAAATATTATATAATTAAAGTAATTAAATTAATATCATCATGAAAATTAATTAATAATACCTAATTTATTATTTTCATTGTTTGTGTTGTTGTTAATATTTTACGTTATATTTTGTATAAACAGTTCTCAGCTGTTTAATGTCGTGTTCATTGTGCACTATAATAAGTGATTATTCCGACATCTTAATATTTAACACGATTAAATTGTATTTATATTAAGTTGTGTTTGTACTTTATTGTTTTGTGTCTTTGTTATTCTTTGTTTGATAGTATGTATTAATGAAATTTGTAAACAATTAAACCAGTTGTTTGGGTTGTGACAAACGTATGCAATTGTTTTAGATAACAAAAAACATTTTTATTATTTTATTTTTATAATATTTAATGTTTTTTCTTTAAAATATTGTTTGTTTAATTCAAATATTTTTTATTAAAAAACTCATTTATTATTTATTATATTTTTATTGACTGTTCAAATCAAAAATGATACAAATTTTAAAATTGTAATATAATTAATTCAAATGTGTAACAACACATCCACTTTATTGCATTTGTATGGCGATATCTTTCATGTTGACAATAATATAATTACTTAACACAATAAGTATTTTAAAATCAATTAATCATTTTGTTTTTATTTTATTTTTCATTTATTAAAAACTAGAGGTTAATCCGTTACTCAGTGACAGGAAACAAAAACAACTTATTTTTCAGTTTTGTTTTTATTTTTGAAAAATTATTAGAATGGTTTTTTAAATATATTTTATTAAATATAAATACATTAAAAAATATAAAGCAAAAACACAATTTAAAACATCAATTAATTTTCTTTTCCTTCTTTATACACGACATTTTTTTGTTATTTTTACATTTCCATTTATGTACAAATGAATTTTAAGATATTTTTTTTTATCTCTACACCTTGATAAGGCTAC